TTTTTGGCTGTCCAATATTTAAACCCCGTGTTATCATTGGGCAATTCCCCCAAAGTTTGGGGGAATAATTAACACAAATTAAATGCAATGCCATGTAGGAAAAAAAGATTTGGGCATTTGAGAATAATATTGCTATAAATTTTTTTTCTTTTTTTTTTTTTTTTTACTGAGAAGAAACTCTAGATTTTTTTGTGAGGGTAGGAGTTCAAAAAGTCCAGGGGGATCCTGACTCTCCAACTCTTACTTACGTTAGTCACTTTAGATATTTAATATTGAGCTTAGAAGTGTGCGTTTTGAATAGTCTGGTTTTTATGACTTTACCTGATTTGAAAATGGCTCATACTACAGAAAGTTAAGAAATTTAGATTCTAGCATGTAGACATGAGTTTCCTATCTTAATACGTGCTTTTTTTCTGTTCCAAAATAAACTGCAAAATTAACCTCCACAGGACGGCTAATGGTTTTCCTGTTAAACTGTTTGGCTAGACTTTCACTTCCAGGCAGCATGGTGGAAAATTGTAGAGTATAGAGATATTTTGAAGCTCCCTCCTGCTGAATAGCTAACGCCTATATAAAATGTATCTTTGCTGTATTTTTGGATTTCCAAGATGTAAGGGAAATTTCAACTGCTTTTTGAAAAGGTGAAACAGAAGCCTGTAGTGAAAACAAAATGAAGAGCCTGTTTCAGATGTGCATCCTGGAGGTCTGTCCACGCCACCTTCTTTCCCATCTGCAGCTGTTTTGGCATCATCTTTTGACATCTGGACAAGTCTAGCTTCCATGGGTTTTGGGAGACAGGGATAGATGTTGAAGCTGGAAGCTGGAAGGGAGTCTGGTGATGCTGTTTTGACAGAACCATTTGCTCAGACCCAGGAGACAGGTTTCCTATCCTTCCAAGCTCTTGGTCCAAGAACTTAGAGGAACATCCAGAAGAGGAAAAAGAAAAAAAAAAATACCCTTTCTAGCTTAAGTCTTTCATCATTTAGAGTCAGGGGAATGGTGCTGCAGGTATTCTTTGGTCTGATAAGTAGATTTCCCTTGGTAATTACTCTCGTTGCAAGATCCCTCAAGGAAGCCCTGATTTGTCAGGCTCACTGCCCAGGTCTCAGGAAGTCATTTCACGGCAGGATTGAGCTGGAGCAGAGGCCCAGCATCCAGAGGTTCTCTTATTCCTCTCAGGAGCGGGTCCTCCACTGTCATCTGCCTGTGAACTCTCCTCTTTCCCGGCTCAAACTCTCCCCCTTCCTCATCCCATGCAGGGTCACATGCAACAAATCTGGCAGTCTAGGCTCTTTGCTAGAACAAAAGCACCTGCACAGCAAGGCAAATGAACAGTCTGTATTTAACCTCTCACATTTCAGCATTAACACAGCTTCTGCAGACCATATTTTCCCCTGTTGTAAATAAACCCGATATTTCTTTTAACTGTCTCCCATGCGGAGAATGCTCTGTCCTTCCTCTGAGTTCCCTTAATCTCAGTAGAGTCACAGCTCCTCCTTGTGGTAAAAGGTCAAACGTGTCAAGACTCTGTCCCATGGCGGACCAAAGGCAGCGGGGTGGTAGAGGTCTTAGAAATAGAGATATGCAGCCAGGCACGGTGGCTCATGCCTGTAATCCCAACACTTTGGGAGGCCAAGGCGGGTGGATCACGAGGTTGAGAGGCCGAGACCATCCTGGCCAACGTGGTGAAACCCCGTCTCTACTCAAAATACAAAAATTAGCCGGTTGTGGTGGCATGCGCCTGTAATCCCAGCTACTCCAGAGGCTGAGGCAGGAGAACCACTGGAAACCGGGAGGGGGAGGTTGCAGTGAGCCGAGATCGCCCCAATGCACTCCAGCCTGGGTGACATGAGCGAGACTCTATCTCAAAAAGGAAAAAAAAAAATGGGAAGGTGGAGAGGTTCACTCCTTCCTTTCTTTAAGAGGCTTCTATTTAAAATACAAACATACAAAATTTCACCTCGCCTTTAATAAATATAAAAACTGGCTTTTGGAGTTAATAGACTGAATTTTTGCAGAACAACATTCTTATCAAAAACAACTACATAAACTTAACAAAATATAAAGATAAATGTTTGAAGGCATTTGGAGCTACTGAGGCAAAAAGAACCTAACGGACTGGGATCTCAAGGAGAAAGGAGAGATCTAACAGACCACTTTTCCCTCTAAGTCATTTGCCAATTTTATATCGCTGCCTAAGTAGCTGAGAAAAAAAGGGAAGACTGAGAGTGTAGCGGGTTTGAGGAGCATCCACCACCTTTCTGGTCCAGAGAACATTTATGTTCAGTGACTACTGAATAGGAGAGGAGCCTGTCAAAGACCCCAGGCCTTGGTGCTGGCGGCAGAAGCAGGGATTGACTGAAAATGAGCACAAAGGAACTTTCTGGGTGGGGAGGATGAAATGTTTTACAGCTGGATCATGGTGATTGTTGCACAACTCCACAAATTTATCAAAATTCATTGAATTGCATACTTGCAATGGGCAAATATTATGTTATGTAATTTACACTTTAATTAAGCTGTTACACTCCAGACATCTAGTTGGAACTTAAATGGCTAAGACCGAAGGCGAGCAGCCGTCACACAGGCCAAATCCCAGCTCTGATCCAGCTCAGTCATAAGCTCAATTAAGGTGATCTGCCCCTGCTACAATTCCCAGCAGAAGCAAAAGTGAATCATCTGGGGAAGATGAAATCATTCAGAGCCTCAGATTATCTCTACAGTTTTTATATACAATATCCAGCATTCAAATAAATCACTAGTTGTGTGAGAAAACAAAATCACATGCCCAGAAACTAAACAGAGAAAACAGAAAAAAGAAATAGACCCAAACAGATTCAGATGTTACAGTTATCCAAAACTGGCTTTCAAATGACAGATGTTAATATAGTCAACGAAGTAAATGACAAAATGTGGAATTTTAGCAGACAGCTGGAAATTGTAGGAAGATTTAAGTGGAAATTCCAGAACCCAAATACACGAATACCTAGAATTTAGATTTCAATAGGTATGTTTAAAAGAGACATAGTTTCTTAAATGAAACTCAAAAAGTTAATCTGGCTGCTTCATGTTAAGTTGAAAGTGACAAATTCATTCCTACCTCTGCCTCTAGATGTCTCTTGACTTTTGCTGCTGAATTCTGTTCCTGCACTGCCTGGCTTTATTCTGGCGATTCTCATGCTGGTCTAAACCTCTGTTGACCTTGAAATGGTGTAAAATGGTATCCTAATATTAGACTCCATGTTTTCTACTCTCTTAACTTGTTATTTTGCGAGCTAGCATCATCAACCCAAATGCATCACACCAGGGTGACAGGGTCATCAGATTGTTCTGCTCTTGACCACATGCTGAGCAAGACTCATTGATATTGAGGCCCTTGTATCAAGCCCCTTTTCCTTCTGAAGATTTCCGTGGAGATCCTCTATATTCTCATGGAAATACCTGAACTCCCACTCAGTAATCATTTCACCGTCCTAGGAGTTAAAATATGTTTTCCTAAGCAACTAAATCCAAAAAATTCTAATAAAAATGGCAAAATGAGAATAAAGAAAAGATATAGGTTACTTGGTTGGATACAATTCTCCCATATTCAGAGCCCACCATCACACTCTGTAGTATCTATTAACATTCTTCAAACCCTACAGTATGTTGTCATTTCTGCCCAAGATATCTTTGGGAATTTAATTTCAGATATCTGTCTTTTTGGAGACATTTGCAAGAACGAACCCAATCAGAGACTTCCTTTTCTTAGACAGGAAGTGGGTGCTGGCGGCTGGGAGGGAGGCAGATCTATGAGGGTTTTTGAACAGACTGGAGCTGTCTTTGTAAGGCTGTGGCTTCACTGCTGGCACAGAAGTACATGGCTGAGTCCTCCAGCTTTGTGGACTTGATCTTCAGAGTGAAATTTGATCCATCAGGCCTTTCAACTGAGAATCGATCATCGAATATTTCAGACTTCTCTGAGATGTTATTATTAAAAAAGATAACCAGAAACTCGACTTTCTGCCCCAAGATTTGTCTGTACCAATAGAAGTATAAGTGATTAGGGATGGGGACACACTGCAAGATCACTTCCTGTCCCATCTGTGTGACCTGATGGCTGGGAATCTGGGTGACTTCAGGTTCTGTGTGTCCTGTGGGAAAAGAAGATTAAGAGAATGGTTTAGAATTGTCTTAGGTAAGTTCAAAACAAGAATCTCCTAGAGTCCTAAGCATTGACCTGCTTTCAAGAAACTAAAAATTGCCCAGCATAGGAGGCGGGTATCCATGGCAGGATCACAGCAGGAATGAGGCCTCTCCTAGCTCGGGCATCTGGTCCTGTGGAGGAAAGGAGTGGCATTTTGAGCTCCCACGGCCCCACAGGCAAGGTCTGGCAGAGTTACTGGTGTCTGGGGCAACACCCACCGTCCCTGGAGCGCCCTCTATAGGAGAGAGGAGGGATCTTTTGTGTTGGTGCAGAAACCGGACAGTGCAGGGCTCTGCTCAGGGGTCTGATGGCCTGTGCAGGACTGAGGGCCGTTAATTATTAAGAGCAGTGCTGGAAAATGTGGGGCTCAGCAAGGTAACCCTGAGTACAAAGTCCGGCTCAGAAATTCCAGGAGGTGGCCTTCTCTTATTACCTGCTGTGAGCAACAATTCAGGTGCAACAGAATCCACGGTTGATAATGGATGCCGAGAAAACTTGGTATTAGGATTAAAGAGACAGAAGGAAAAACAATCAAGTTTGAAAGTTTTAAATCCTGAGTGGAAGAGAGAAGCCAACAAGAAGTTGAAACTCTGCACATGCCCCAGGGAGAGTGAACTAGAGAACAATGATGCAAACCCCATGGGGAACCACTGTCCTCAGGGTCAGGCACTGATAGGGCCACCTGAGGAGGGCATTGGGTATTCTTTATTTTAAAAAAAAAGAAAAGAAAAGGACCTGCCGGGTGTGGTGTTTCACGCCTGCAATCCCAGCACTTTGGGGGTCCGAGGGGGGCAAATCAAGAAGCTAAGAGTTTGAGACCATCCTGGCCAACATGATAAAACCATGTCTCTACTAAAAATAGCTGGTTGTGGTGGTAGTGCCTATAGTTCCAGCTACCCAGGAGGCTGAGGCAGGAGAATCACTTGAACCTGGGAGGTGGAGGTGGCAGTGAGCCGAGATCACGCCACTGCACTATTCCAGCCTGGCAACAGAGTGAGACTCCATCTAAAAAAAAAAAAAGAAAGAAAGAAAGAAAAGAAAAGGTCTGACCATATTTGGATCTGGGATGAGGGCTGAGATCCAGGGTCTAACTTGAGTCAAAAGAAAGTCAAAAAACAGTTCATATTGGAAGATGGATTAGTGTGGCCAGAGTGTTAAATACTTCACACAACATTTTCCAGAGGCACAAGCCAACTGGAAGATACTTGGAACAACTTAAATGTGACAGCATCTGTCCTACATTCAAACTCAGGCATAGTCTCGTTCAAGACAAAGTCATGCCCCAGGCTGCAGGTGTCTGGGCAATTTAGCGTTGTCACATCCAATAAATAACAGTATTATGGTCTGAGATTTCTGCCGAGGTCCTACGGAATGCTGAACCGAGTGTTGAGGCTCAGCTGAACGCGTTGCCCCCATGGATCTCTGACTAGACTTAGGAGGAGGTTTGTGCACAGGGAGGCGGTGACTCTGCAGGGCTGTATCTTGGCTACTGGTGCAGAGATACAGAGCTGAGTCTTCCGGCTGCAGCGCGAACACATGAAGGTATAAGCGAGAGCTGTCAGGGCATTCAGGTGTGAAGTGACTTGGCACAGTCTTGTTATCAATGAGTTCCTTACAGTTGTAGTAAAACATGAACACCAGGGATTTCTTAGCTTTCTGTCTGAGCCAATACAAAGAATCATGTCCCAGATGCTCACGTTTCATCATCCTTTTACTCCCCATTCCTGTGACCAGGTATTTTAGTGTCTGCGTAATTTCAGTATCCATGGAGCCTGTGAAAATAAGAAGCCAAATTCAGACAAAGCCTAGGACAGAGTATTCTGAGGCAGTTCCATGAAAAAAGCAAAAAATCCAAGGACAGAAATGTCCCACCTGTGCCCAGGACTCACCCGAGACAATGGACCACACCACAGTGGAGGCTGCAGCCCATGGCAGGGTCACACGGGCAGAGGCGAGGGGACCCTGAGTCTCCCTGCTTAGCATTCTGGTCTTGTGGGTGTGCTTCCCTGGCCCTGAGACAGGGGCTGCTTGGGAAGTCTCTGCTCCTGTTAGTATCACTGTTAATGTCTACAGCTCACACTTCCTTTTTCCCTTCTACCTTTGTGCCTGCACCTCAAGAGGTGGGTTTAGACTAGCTTGTCAGGGCCAGGTGTGCATGGCAGTTTCCTCAGACAGTTGCATTTTTCTTAGCAACTGCCTGCCCTCCCACAATGAATGACTGGGTCTCCCCTTCCTCTTTCTACTTGTGGCTCCCCTCCTCCCTAACACATAGACCCCTTCCCTTTGGGCAGATGCCTTCCTGATGCCTGTCTTGGACCCAGGCGAGCGCACTTCAGCTCCACTCCCTCATCTCGGTGAACTCCAGGAGGCCTCCTCACCTGGCTCAGCTGAGCCCTTCCCTGGAGCCAGCTGTGCATCATTTTAAGACCCAGTAATGTAATACCAACTAGGGAGGGAGCACCCTTCAGTGGGTGCTGAGGGGACGCGAGAGGAATACTCTGTGACCCCTACCCCCGGGGAACATCTCACCTACTTAGGATGACAGACCTGAACACAGACTTGAATGACAGAAGGCCCTAATGGCGTGAGCAGAGGGACTGCAGAGACGAGGCTACACAGGTCCAGGTGGAATGGACTTCGGTGTCTTCATGTTGTCCACACATGGTCTCTCAACTAGCACAAGGAGCAAATCCTGATGCCAGAGCATTTGATTCCTTCCTTAGTCCTTTCCTCCCTCCTGCCCCTCTTCTTCTCCCTCCACTTGACTCAGGAATGTCCCTAAAGTCACAGCTCCTCCTGGAGGTGAAAGAGACACATGGCCCTCTTCTCAGCCATCTGCCCCCAGTCCTCCAGATACAGCACTGGGAGCATAGATACACAAAAGGATTCCGCAGGGGAATACACAAAGCAAGAAGATATTTGAAACGCCGAAGTAAAGGCTTAGCAACTCTTACTGCCCCTTACTGGTGAAACGCCTCCAACAGCCTCCATATACACACTTAAGATATCAAAATAATATGATCCACTAGGTATTTATGGAACACATAACTATATGTCAGGCACTGTTTGAGGACCAGGAATAGAGCAATGAATAAGACCAACTCTCATGGGCACATGGACCATTTTAATTTGTTCAAAAAGCTATTGTGAATAATGTTCTCATTCTCAAAGTGCTTCAGGGATTACAGGAGCTATAAGACATGTTTCATGTGGGCTGAGCGCAGTGGCTCATGCTGGTAATCCTAGCACTTTGGGAGGCAGAGGTGGGCAGATTACAAGGTCAGGAATTTCAGACCAGCCTGGCCAATATGGTGGAACCTCATCTCTACTAAAAATACAAAAAAATTAGCCAGGTGTGGTGGCGTGTGCCTGACGTCCCAGCTACTCGGGAGGCTGAGGCAGGAGAATCGCTTGAACTCGGGAGGCGGAGGTTGCAGTAAGCCACGATTGCACCACTGCACTCCAGCCTGGGTGACAGAGCAAGACTCCATCTCAAAAAAAATAAAAATAAATAAATAAAAAATAAGACATGTTTGACATGTTTACAGATAAAATCTAATTTGGAAAGTTTTACAGGGTGTGCTTTAGGAAGGTGAAAGTAATTGGTTTTTAGGTGTCTAAATCATTTCATCTACCGACTTTCTCATTTCCTCATCCTTGAAATTCGGATGTGGGGAGAGACTGAAATAATTTTCTCTAACTGTCTACCCAGCTCTGAAACACTGTAAGCCAAGCAGGGTAGACTTCACTAGGCTGCTGTGCCAGAACCTTATATGCTTCACGGCCCCTATCAAAATACTTTACAGAGTACAGGTGCTTAATACATGTTTACTTAATTGGTCAATAAATAGATGGATGGAATGGAAAACAGTACAAACCTACCTTTTAGGTAGGCCTAAGCACTTAAAAATTGTGTTTCTAATGTGCTACGGTTGGCATTGGTATATTTATATCTGTAAATCCACAAAAATCAGGTTGTAGTCTCAGTATGTAAGGCTGGATGCAACTGATAAAAATAATTTTTATTTCAAAGGCTTTATTTATGAATAATAATCTTTCAATGTTGATGAAGCATTGTCCAAAGGAGATACGGAAATAGAGGGTTGTTACTTCCTAAATTCTCCTTCCTGTCAGGGTCCCCATCATTCCTTGAACATTTCCTTACTTTATGGCACAGGGGGTTCTAGGCTTTGCCTGCCTGGCTTGGTTTCTACTATTTGTCCAAAAAGTCCTGGTTCCTTCTAGCGGACAGTGGTATTTAGAAAACAGAATACGGACCCTAGATCTTTTGGGGTGCTTTTGGGGTGAACTACCCTTAGGCATCACATTGGACAGAGCTATACATACACATGTATACTCACAGTACATATATATTTACAGGTATCTTTAATTGCTCTTTAGACATATTGAGAAGTGATGAGTTCACACTAATTCCAATCCAGTATTATAAGGTTTATTCCTGTGTTCTGGTGTTCTCTCTTTCCATATTTGCAACTCCCTTATCCAATACTGAGAAATGTGGTTGTGTTATCCTTATAGATTTATATATTTGATTAATCCCTTTCCATGTGACTATGTGTATGCTATGGCTGCCACTGTCTCTCCCTTGTGAATGGTCTCCTCTCTCCATTCACGTTCTGACTTCCTGTGCCAGGGAGACCACCCATGTTGAAACTCTCCTCACCTCAGTCCAATTTCTGACACGCCACACAAGGGATGTCTTGCCCCACAGAGTGCGCTTTGCAATCTGCTTGGGCTTCCACAGTCTGCAGGAGGCTGCTTTCCACACCCCATTTGGACTCACCCTTCTTTTGGGGAGACACTTTCCACGTGCTGCATGGTCTCTATCGCTGTCCAGCAGGCCTCCCTTCTACGCAGATACAAAGAAATGCACATTAGTCCTCTGTATTTCATGTCACTGTGTGTTTATTGCATAACTTGAGGCACCTGACATGGGTGATGACCTGGGAAGACCTCAGGACCTTTTAGGAAGATCTTTTTAGTGTACAGGGTGATGGCTGCAGCTAATGAGCTTGTTTGTAGTTGATTTGTCTGGGCTTCTCTGAGCCCTGTGTAGTTCTATTATTCTTCACCTTGTTCTCCAGGGAGGAATGCTAATTTCATGGTTCTAAAAGTTCTAGGTTTTTCCTTCCACACTAACATATATTTATGTCAGTACTTGTCTCCCTTACTGGATTGGATCTTCCTAAGGTCACAGGCTGTATCTTAATCACTTTCTTTTTTCTTCTTCCTAATGCAACCTCCTTCCTCACCTGCCAGTGTTTACAGAACACCTTAAAGGTGCAACAGCAGCTGCTCCAGATAGCCCACCACATGCCTCTTTTCATTCTCTCCCTTCAAAGTGGGAGCTGGGGGTCGCCTTCCAATACTTTCAGGTGCACAGACATTCTAACCACCTCTCATTCATCTTGCTAGAACCAAAGGCTTGAGAACCATAACCAGATGTTTTGTTCTCAGCATTTGAAGGCCTGCCTGAAGTCTAACTTCCTCAAGGACTGATCCTATGCTCTGTTCTGGTTACTGAACACCCATTGACCACAAATATATAGAAGGACTCTGATTGCAATGGGTACCATGTGAAAGGGGGAATAAATCCATACAAATAAAAAAAACCTATAGGTTATTCATCTTTGTTTTCAGTGTGTGTGAATATTCTAGATGGTGTGACCGAGCCAATATTGAGAAGAAACAACTCTTTAAAAGCGCTGTATGATATTTGACTAATCATCAAATAATGGGGCACAAGTTATTCTCATCAGCATTCAAAGACTATGTAGAAAACCAGTTATCAGTTGGGGATTGATGCAATTAGAGAAGGTCTCTTGAAGGAGAGGACTTTAAGCCAGATCTTAGGGCAATCTACCTAAGCCTGCTCCAGCTATTTTTTTTTCCTAAGAAACTGTTTCTGCTGAATTGTCTACAAAGAAGCCAACATTAGCTTTGACTACTAGTACCTGGCATGCTATGTCCCAGGAATGGGGAGACACTTTTGAGACTGGCTTTCACAATTTGTAGCTGCTATCTAAAGAGAAAAATGTATATTTGCTGGGCTGGAGTTTTCACTTATCTGACTCGTCTTTAACTCTTTTAGAACCTACAATCTTCTTTTAGCTTTGTTGACTACTTACCTTCTTACTATATCTCTCCTGATCCTATGTCCCCAAGGTATAGGGCCGAGAGCAAAAAATTCAAAGCGCTAACAAGATGATTTTCTGGCTTGACAGAAGGAAGAATTTTCCAGGAAGTACTGTGGTTTCCTGTCCAGAATAGAGGCTGGATGACTGTTGGTGGGGATGTTTTGGACAAGGCATAAGTGCCCATCGGGGCAAAGAAGAACTGAAGCATCTACTCTAGGCCAGAGACAGTGTTATAAACTGGAAATTTTAACATAAAGCATTTTCTTCAAAAGCTCATAATCTAGTTGAAGAGACAAGGAAATCAAAACCTGCAACCAAATTCAAAAGTTATAATAGCAACATGCACAGGGTTTTACAATGGCACCAATAAGGAACAGAAAGGACTAGCATCTAACAAATTGGGCCATTATGGGGGTGGAGTTAGGGGAGGAAATAGGTTAATGTCAGAGATTAATTATAGATAGAAATGATACTTTAGGTAAATTTAATGGATGACTAGAAGTTCACCAGCAAAGAGGGAAAGTAACCTCATTCATTCATTCATTCAGCAATTATTCACTGAGCAATTACTCTGTGCCACGTACATACTGACTTTGAGGCATAATAGTGAGCAAATCAGACATTATTTATGCCCTCAGGAATTTTAAACCACCTGGAAAAAATTTAAGCAGATATTTATACAAGTAATATGTGACTGGAAGTAAATGTAATGAAAGTAAAGGCTGCCTAGAAAGTTCAGCTGGAGAATGCAGCTGGATTTTAGCTGGAGAATGCAGGTGGATTTCAGAGTTCTCCACGGTTAGAGTTGAAGAATGACGGGAGTTAACCAGGTAAGGTGTGTGTGGAAGGCACAGAGGTTTAAAACAGCATAGAGTGTCCAAGAACATGAACTTTAGTGCTGGAACTTAAACTTATCCTGGTGTCAATGTGGAGCCGCCA